CCCCTCCTGTTTTGTGTGTTTTTACTGTTTTTTATATGTAGTTGTTTTTATGTATTTATTTCTTTAATTGTTGTATGCCGCTCAGAGTCACCTTGTATGAGATGGGTGGCTATATAAACATGATAAATAATAATGATAAATAATAATCTATTTTCTATATTTTGTTCCCTTTACCATTATATGAGACTGTGATAATGCTTGGTACCTGAATAGATTGCTGCGCTCTGTGGTACAAAGGCAATCCTAGCATTTCTTGCCCATTTATCTGTGTGTGTGGGTGTGCACACGCGCGTGCGTGCACACCTTTAAGTCAGTCTTGACTCCTGGCAACTGCCTGGACAAGTAACTGCAGTTTTCTTGGCAAGATTTCAGAAGTGGTTTGCCATTGCCTATTTCCTAGGGCCAAGAGAGAGTGACCGCCCCAAGGACTTCCAACTGGCTTTGTGCCTAAGGACGGACGGACGAACTCACGGTCTCCTGGTTTCTAGCCTGCTGCCTTAACCACTACACCCAATGGACTCTCTTGCAGACCTGTAGGACTCCTATTCTCACTCTTCTAATTATGCCCAGGTGTTACCATTTAAAGCTTCCTACAAAAGTGCTTAAACAGTGCCAGCAGAAAAACCAAATTTAGTGGTGACTTGTGCAGAGAGACACAGGGCCAAGATGAGATTTTACTATTAGGCTCATTGCTCCTTATTGGCCCAACCTTCAATCATATACTCCATCTGATTTAGATGGCATGCAATCATCACTGTTTTGTTTTTAAACAAAAAAAGTTGCATCACTGCAAAGCTCTTAAAGTGCTCAGGATTTTTGGATTTCTGACAAAGCAAAACTAGCCACTTAGCATACTGTTTGCAGATAAAGAGGTTATAAATAGTACAGCAACATAAGGACAAGGCTGCTTAGAACAGCAGCTACAGATAGTCACAGCAGCTATTTTTGCAGTTCTGTTTCACTGCTATTAATCCCAGCAGACATGCCAAATTCAGTTTTAATAAATGTGCATCATGGATATCAGAGCACACATACTGTTACATAATCAGTACACATGCTTAAGCTTCTAACAAAAGATTGTGGATCAATTAATGACTACAGCATTACAAAGCACCAGAACATTTATCCGATCTTTTAGATAAAGCTCCCCGCTTACTCTTTTGCTTAATGTATTCTTTATTTGTATCATGTTTGCTCTGGTGAATTAGGAGAGTTGAGAACAACTGGAGAAGAAACAGAGTTGGACTCTAATTGAGCAAGTCCAGGTGAGATGCCCAGGGCCTGGTCTTGTGATGTTACCTGGGATGAGTGTGAGTCGGTGACTCCCAATAAAGTGGACAGGAGCCTCCAAACTGTGTGTTCGGTCGCTTGTTAATTAGGACCAGATCCCTCCTGAATTGTCAGAGGCACCCAGGAGATGACCTACTATTGGGTCCATACAGTGGTATTGGCTTCTTTAAGAGAAAGGTGATGCCTTCAGCCCTGAAGAAGGCAGGGGTGCACCCCCTCCTGAAGAGGCTACCCTTGGACCCAGCAATTTTGGACAATCATAATCCTGTCTTCAACTTTCCCTTTTTAGGGAAGGTTGTTGAGAAGGTGATCAGACAGTAGTTGCAGAGGATCCTGGAGGAAGCAAAATATCTGGACCTTTTTCTGTCGCGCTTCAGGCCGAGATACAATACGAAGACAGCATTAGTCATGCTTGTCAATGACTTCTGGCAGAGCTGGGATGGGAGTGGTGCTTCCATCCTTGTGCTCTTTGATCTCTTGACGGCTTTCGATACCATTGATCATGGTACTCTTCTAGGTTGGCTGCAGGGTTTGGGAGCCACTGCATTACAGTGGTTCTCCTTTCTTCACAGTCAGTTCCAGTCACTGTTGACAAGAAGGGAGAGGATGCACCCTCAGCTGTCATTTGTGGCGTGCTTCAGGGTCAATGCTCTGTTCCCTTCTGTTTAACATCCACATGAAACCACTGGCTGAGGTCATTTGCTGATTTGAGATTGGGTATCATCAATAAGCTGATGATAGCAAGACATACATTTCAACCCCAGCCTGGCCAAGGTATGCTATCAATATCCTGTCCCTGTGTCTGGAGGTTATGTGGGTTTGGATGGGGAGGAACAGACTCAAACTCAATCTGACCAAATGGCTGTGGAAATTAGAGTCCCCTAGATCTGGGGATTTTTCATCTTTAATTTTGGATGGGACTACACTTAATCATTTGAGCCTAGTGTGCAATTTGGGGGTTGCCTTGGACTCACAGCTCCTGCTTAAAGAGCAGGTGGCAGCAGCGGCCAAGAAGGACTTTGTACAGCTCTCTGGTGTGCCAGTTGCATCTGTTCCTGGATCATGAGCCCTGACAGTCACTATGTGTGTGTGTGTGTGTGTAATATTAAGACTTTTAAAAAAGATTAAAATTTAATACAAACTAATATAAAGAAGAAAAGAGAAAAAGAGAGAGCAAAAAGTGCAAGAAAAGAAAAAAAGTTAAAGAAAAATAGAAAAGAAAAAAGATACAAAGAAGTGGCTTCCGATATTCTTCACTGCAGTTATAAGTACAATTATACTTTAACCTCTCTCTAAAGTTACATCATAGTACTCTTCTCTCTATAATCTCTCCTGTCTAATCATCAAAATCATAAATCACAAGTTCATTTTTTTCATTTTTACACAAAAAGTCCATAAGAGTTTTCCAGTCACCAGTAAATGTAGTGTCTTTTCCCTAATCAAAGAAGTCAGTTTATCCATCTCAGCAAGATCTGTCAATTTCACCAACCATTCCTCCATGGTGGGTAGCATTGAATCTTTTCATCTCTGTGCATATAATAATCTTTCCACAGAAATCATATATTGAAATAATCTTCCATGACTTTTTTCTAACTCTTTATCCATTAGTCCTAAAAAGAAAAGTTCTGGCTTCAATTGAATATTAATCTTTAAATCCTCTGTATCAAAGTATGCATTTGAATCCAAATTTCTTTAGCTTTTTTACATGTCTACCAAGCATGACAAAATGTCCCTT